TATTGTCTTTTACCGAAAATCTCAACTTACAAGAAATCAATTCTATTTCAACAATTTAAGTTATTGTATAAATGCCAAAAGTGGATCAGACAAATCCAGCAAGCATCGATCTACACGCTACCAAGCTAAGTTTACAAATATTCTCAAAGAAAACAGCTTTTATTGAAGGTACTAAATATAAAAAGAKATGTAGAAATGTTATGAGTGTAAAGAGAAGATCGTGATGTTTAACAATAATTTATAGCCCTGAGTCACGTAGGTATACCCACAGCCGCTCTGCCGCAAACACTGGGATATGATACACGAATGAAGTTTTTGACTTATCAAAACTCTTTTTCGCATTTACATCGCCTCTACAAATCTTATATAACTTATTTTTATTCCATGTTTAGATATTTACGACGACTCCTGAGACAACTGCTAAGCAAAATACCCCCAAACATAAACGATATAGGCCATTTTATTGAAGAGGAATAAGATAGCCCCCTAGTTTTGCTTAGACAATCTTACCTTTCCTCCGGCTTTACCGATGTATACAATTCCTAACTTTAACCCCGGCTCCATCCAAATCCCTRAAAGATGTCTTCGATTGAAAAAGTTTGACTAGTTTTATTCAATGTAGGATAGAAAACACTTGCCAAAGATTTGCGCTCCACTCTGTTTACCGGCGATGCTGTGCCTGTGGTATTATTGGCCAGCTGTACTAAAATGTAGGCACGTGAAAGAACGGAAGTAAACATTTAGACTTCCGGTTGAATAGAAAATAATATTTTGGATATACTGTACAAGAGAACTGATTGACTTGATATTCTTATTTTACATATATAATTCACTCTCTTCACTCTTCTCTTTTTAAAGGGGTTTTGAGTTTGAACTTTGTATTCACCGAAAAATCGGTTAATTTATGAGGGACGACGGGGGACGACGTGTTCACGACCAATACGAGAGATTATCGATTCTGTCTGGAGCAATCGGACCAGACCATCGGACCACCGACGGATGACTTCGGCACACCGAGACGAACTCCCAAGAACATGGCGGACAAGAMAAGTAGTGAAGAGAAGGGAAGCAAGGTTGTAATCGCTATTGATGGCAGTGAACACAGTAAAAGAGCGTTTGACTGTAAGTTTTGGAAGCCATTTCATAGATTTAAAATCTCTGAATAAATTTATGTAATGCGCTTGAAGATTGCATGACTTCGATTCCAAAGATCCCGGGATAAAAAAACACAACTGGTTTTTCCGTTTGTCGTTTTAAAAAAGAATTTCTAGCAAATCTGGACAGTGAAGACCAAAAATAAAAAGAAATGCAAGGGCTGGTATAAAAAGTTCTTGCAAAAAAGATCTGTACGTGTCTTGTAGCTGGAACACACAGGAAGCCCAAGCACTGGTGATTAATGAGGCGTGATGATCATTGTAGCCTACGATAACAAACGTTCAAGTTAAGCATCTCTCCTTTTCATAATACAACAACTATCCTTATGGACTGCGTGATATCTTGGATTGATGGGGACCAACTGCCTGAAATATGACATATTGTTTGATTGTTAATTTGATTTTTTCCAGGGTACTGTGAGCATGCTCACAAGGAGAAAGACAATGTTCTACTRATACATGCCAATGACATATCAGATCGGCAAATACAACTACATCCATGTAAGTTATACTCTACATTTCTATTTCATTAGGTCTTTTCATAGAACCAAAGCAGGCACATGTTTGCTACAGTACTCAAATGAACAAGAGTGCCAAGTCATGTCAAAATCATGACTTTTTTTCACCAACAAAAATTTTCCTGATGTTGMAAAAAGATAAGGAAGCTCAAAAAGGACAATTTTTGGGTTGTTGCCCAATTCTGCCTCACTTTGGTGCAAAAGTGGTACAAGATGTTATAACGAAAAGAATAAGAAATGGAAAATAAATTGCTGCAACATAAACACATTTTTTTGCTTTCAATTGGTTGTCATTCTGTCAATCAATGTAAAGCTTTCACTGATGAAATAATCATGCAATAACTAGACTAGAAACAATGGAAAGATATAGGACGTGGAAAGGACTAGGTTATTCCAGGCAAAAGAACATTGTAAATATATAGTTGAATATTAATTTAAGACCAATATTTGTATAGTTCATGTATTTTCTATTATAAAAGTCATTAATATTCATAAGGCAAAACACAATAGAAATCATAGCCCATGAAGAGAGTTGTATATTACATACAGATTCTTGTTCATTTTCATAAACTTTAACTCTGATTTTCTCAGTSAGATTGAATTTTTTTAAAAAGTTTCTTTAAAACCTGAGCAAGTTTACCTTAACATTTCATACGTAATATACAATATTCGTGTGCGATCTGTATGAGGTATAACACACCTTGCTGTTTAAATACGATATAGAAATGAAAGAAAGTTATTATAGTGCTTAGAAGGAGGCAATTCCGGGAGAAGTCCCTTAGGAATAAATTCGGAAAAATTAATTTCCGACCTCGCTGGGATTCGAACCCACGACCTTCGGATTGTACACCAATGCTCTACCAGCTGAGCTACAAGGCCAGACTGGGAGCAGGTCGGGGTGAAATAGATGTTAAGGTTGCGGTAATAGAATAATGTAAAGATATGGATATGCTGTTTAAATCCTCAGATCGCCTGATCAATCATATTGTATTTAATATATTACTTGCGACACAGTCCACATATTCAATGTATAGATTGTCTGATGCAATAACTTAATTTCATATTATGTACATGAAAAACAGAAATGGCACAGATTATGACATAAAACAGTGTATAAAAACGCTGGCCACAGAACCTTGACTGTAAGCAATGGAGTAAAGATACCCAATAATGCATCAATCTTTTCTGAAATACAAAATCATGGTCCATTGTGGTCTAGGTTCAKCACAAACCATACCATATTTGGCAGCAGTAACAAAAGATGTTTGTACTGAATTATTGAGACCACTATGCCATACAAACTGCTGTCTCAGGAAAGGCCTATGCATCTGGTTTGCTTACATATACAACATAATAACAGACTTCACAAAAGTTTAGTCACTTTTACAACAGAAGTCCATCTTAAGTTGTTTTGTCCATACTCCTTGTTTTGTCCATASTCCTTGTACTTGTAACCTTTTGAGACAAGGCCTCTTATTGTGTTCTGAGTTAGTGGCACTATCTTAAATATTTTTTCTGCATTATTCACTGTTAACARTGGTTGTAATTCATCAAGTGGAGTGAAAATGGATSGCACTTTTCTTGGGTATTACTACTGTGACTTGATTTTAAATTTCTATCACTGCTTGTTAGATGGCCTTGCTACTGTTGAAGGCTGGGATAAGTGGATAGAAAGATGCACAGAAGACTCCAAAAAACTGTTACATTCCTTTGAAGAAAAATGCAAACAACAGAAGGTTGGTCAAAATGCTCTTTAGATAGGGTCAATAATTAGAAGGAAAACTATTACCTGCAATAGCCATTGCGATTTGTCTTTCTGGACTTATGCTCAACTTGTTTTGAGACTTCTCCTTGAAAACCAGGAACACTCCTACTATRATATTCATTTACAGCTACTGTAAACATTTAAAATAATGTGTGTTGCAGTTCAATGGTTATTCTGCAGTAAATTGATGCCAATGTTTTGTCATTGTATTCTAGTACAACTGCAAGCTTTTCACCCAGATAGGAAATCCTGCTGAAGTGATATGTAAATTTGCAGAGGAAAAGGATGCTGACCATCTTATTATGGGCTGCAGAGGGCAGGGCACGATACGCCGCACACTGATGGGTAGTGTYAGCGACTACTGTGTGCAACACAGTCACGCCCCAGTCACTGTTGTCCCACCAAAAGATCGTCATGACCATGGATTCCACAACCTTATTCATAAATGATGCAGGGGAAATTGGGCAATATTTGTGTCAAACACAGTCATTGATTGGTTACTTTTGGGTTTTAATAAAGCTCTTTGAATTAATTGTGTGGTTCATCTTAGATATCTAAGCACATGGAATTGTAGTAATGTTAGTAAAGAGATGAAAATGATAACTGCACTAATGGTAATGCTGCAAATGGAGAGGATAAATATGGTGTGATTTGAGTTGSTAGTGTTGCTAGTGGAGGTGATGAAGATGGTTGTTGTGCTGATTGCAGTGTTGCAGGAGGTGGAGATTGTAGTGATGGTTGGGCTGCTGTTGGAGGTAGCAAAGATGGTGATTGTGGTGATGGAGTGTTGGTGATGGTGATGGTGGTGTTGGGATGGTGATTGTGGTGATGGTAGTGTTTCTGGTAGAGGTGGTTAGATGGCTTTGTTGCAATGCTTTTATTGGTGGTGGTGGTGGTAAAGATGGTGATTGTGGTGGTGGTAGTGTTGGTGGTGATGGTGATTGTGATTGTGGTGGTGGTAGTGTTGGTGGTGATGGTGATTGTGATTGTGGTGGTGGTAGTGTTGGTGGT